ATTATTACAAATGAACATTTTTCAGATCATTCAACTCGGATGCTCCTTCTCTCAAAAACTTGATTTCTATTTTCTGCACTCTTTGCTCTTTATCTCCGTAACGGCTGTACCTGCCTTTGCCAAAAACTAATCAGCACATCTCCCTATCAATAGGAATCGAATGTTTTTTGAACCACTCAATTCGGTTGATCCGTGCACCCGAAAACGTGGACATCCATTTTTTCTGAGGTATGTCAAAATGTTCACAAATCTCTGATACTTTTAAATTTCACTTATTTTGGATACCACTGGTCAACATAAAGCTCGATATTAAAATTGCATATTTACCAGATATAACTAAATGTTATAAACTATTTCATTGAACGTATAAAATATATTTGTTTTATCTTTTACTGTATCGATTTTCTAACATTCTATTCCCAACACCAGCTACAAATATTTAATAGCATTTCCAACATAATTACAAATTCTTTTTGAAGAACAAAATTTCGGATTTTCAAAGGAGAAACTTATTCTTTACTCAGAAGAAGAAAAAAGAGTCTAAAATTAGATCAAAAAGCGTTTAATGAAACACAACTCCGATTTTAGGACAAGACTGACAAGAGTCGTCAGTCTTGAGCCTGCGAAGTTCTTAGATTCCACTGTCATGTAATGTCTTCACTTTCTCTTAACTAGATTTTAGAGTTATTTTAAAATTCCAGAAAGTAGATAATTCTACAATATGATTTTAAGACCAGTTGTTTGGAGTATCTCTATAAACAATGGCGCTGTTAGCAAAATCTATCTTAGTTTGGAACCACACTCATCTATTCGGGAAAAAAATTTATCGCGGAAAAGGGCGTCCATTAAGCAAGTGATAGATTTTTCAACGGAATCCCCCTTGGTGATACGTGGTGATATTCAAAATTAGCCCCCCCCTCCCTCACCAAACGTAAGGTTTATTTTTGGTTACGAAAAAAAAGGAAAATTTTGGATTTTTTTTAAAATGTTTGGATTTTTTACTAAAAAAAAATCAGGGAAACTAGTGTGGTGTATGGCATCGTGTCTTAAGGCAAATTGCTGGAACTTTCCGTACCAAAAATTATTGAAACAATTTTTTTTCCAAATCAATTATTTTGTTAAGAAAAGCAGAAAAGTTCTTTGAGTCATTTAAATCAGACGCTTAGTTCTCTCAAAAACTGTCATTTTTTACACATTTACCTCCGTATCTTCAAAATGGCTGGGCCTGCCTTTGCCAAAAACTAATAAACACTTCTCCCAATCATTACTAATTGAATGTTTTTTAGATCATTCAAATCGGATGCTCCGTTCTCTCAAAAACTTGATTTCTATTTTTGCACTCTTTACACTTTATCTCTGTAACTGCTGGACCTGCCTTTGCCAAAAACTAATCAGCACATCTGATTGCTGGATCGGACGTGCTGATTACTTTTTGGCTAAGACAGGTCTAGCCGTTCTGAAGATAAGGGGCAAAAAGTGACAAAAATAGTAACTCAGTTTTTGAGAGAACGTAGCGTCAGATTTTAATAATTCAAAGAACATTTTACTCATATTGACAAAATGAAAAACTGATTAAATATTTGGAAAGAAAGGTCTAGTGGTTTCGGAGATTTAGTAAAAACTAGCTGTAAGTGGAATTCTGTCTTAAGGCAATTAAGGCATCTTGCCTTTAGGCAAATTTCTGGAACTTCCCGTACCAAAAATTATTATTTTTTTAAAAACGATTAACATTTTTGAAAAAATTTTACTTCGAAAAAATAAGATTTTTGAGAAACTATAAATTGGACAAAAAATTATTTTTTTGAAAAAAAAAAATTTTTTTTTTTTTTTTTGAAAAAAAAAAATGATTTCTTTATTTTGACATATTTTGGAAGATCTGAACTTTTTTCAAAGCAATAGCGTACTGCTTTAACTGCATAGAGACAAAATATAAAGCGCGTAAGCGCCGCGTCGCTGTCTAACGGAATAAACATTAGTACGGAAACCCATAGGAATGTAAACAAAATTTATACTTATTGTTAAATCTCTATAAAATATCTGATAATTTGATGTGCATATGTCTAATGATCATTTTTGACCGCCAAATGGCATTTTTTTTACTTTTTTTGTTATATCTCCGAAATCGCTAGACCTGCCCCTATGAAAATTTGATAAATTCTTCATCTTGTCAATACAAGTAAAATGTTTTTTTGAATTGTTTAAATCGGATGCTCCGTTCTCTTAAAAACAGAGGTAGCGTTTTTGGCACTTTTTGTCCCATATCTTCGGAACGGCTAGACCTGCCTTTGCCAAAAACTAATCAGCACGTCTTCTTATCAATACGAATCGAATGTTTTTTGAATTATTCAAATCGGTTGATCCGTGTTCCCGAAATCGTCGACGAAAATTTGTATCCGCACACACTCAAAGAAACTCAAAATATAAAAAATATTTAGATTTTTCAAAATATTTCAGATTTTTTCAAAAATTCTCAAAACAATTTTTCAAAGTTTTCAAAAGATTTTACAGCTTTATTTTTAAAATTTTTAATTTTTACGGAAAGTTCCAGCAAATTACCTTAAGGCGCGATGCCATGCACCACTAGTTTTTTTTTAATTTTTTATTTTTAATTTTGAATTTAAAAAAGACTCACTCTTCTCCAAAAACTCATCAGTTCTTCACACTATCAACACAAACCATTTTTTTTTTTAGTCATTCTATCAGATAATCCGTTCTCTCAAAAACTAAATTACCATTTTTGGCACTTTTTGCCCCGTATCTTCAAAACAGCTAGACCTGCCTTTGCCAAAAACTAATCAGCAAGTCTCCTTATCAATACAAATCGAATGTTTTTTGAATTATTCAAATCGATTCCCAAAATCGTCGACAAAACTTTGTATCCGCACGCACACACAAACATACATCCATTTTTTCTAAGGTATGCCAAAATGTTCAGAAACATCTGAAACGTAAAGATACGCAAGAATTTTCATTTTCGATTTTTAGCGATTACTATAACACCCTACGAAAAGTTAAATATAAAATTTTTAACTAAAATGCGATACTCTCCCATCATGAACCTGCCTCCAGACCACCCGTAAAAATAACAACAACCCTCAGCCTCGTGTCCAATAATTAATCGGCACGCGTGTCTAAAATACTAAACAATTATCGTATCGTATAAAAGTTTTCACACGCTCACCGTTCGGTCCTCGGGGGCGCGTTTTAATTGGGGAGCACCCTCGCCACTCGATAATTGATCTCACTCCTGCGCGCCCCCTTAAACGAGGGTATGAGTCATTACGAGAGAATTACAAACCCTAAACAGAGAATGCCCTAAACGTACCCGTTACGTCCAATTTAATTTTAAAAGATAAAAAATAGGACGGTATCTGTAATTGTTTACTGGAGCGGAAAAAATGGACTATACTGTCTAAATTGGGTCAGATCTATGTTGGAAAACCAAGTCCATTTGATCAGTATGTGAGATCAAAGTAGACAGAAATCGAATCGGAACAAATGAGAATGATATGTCATAATACATAATTTTGTAAACAATTATTTTTTATATAGTTGAAAATTATATAATTACAAATCAATCCATTTCCACATTGGTGACCGACGCCTTGAAGATTGCAAATAAGAATAGATGAACAATGGTGCAAGGGATTGGAAAATTAACTCCAACAAAATTTTAAATAGATATATAATTGCGGCTCTAAAAATTCATGGTATTTACTAGCTTTTTTTGTCTGATTCTGGTCTTCCGTTGGCTTACTTATACAGTATGTCCAGACCTCTGGTCATCGCGATCATCGCAAGAACTAGCTCTGACCACCACTGTCTTTTACCGGCCTAACTATCCAGTACACCAAGTCTTTACATCACTGCGAGCTAGTCAGCATCAGTAGTACCATTTGCACCAAAAGATGAACACCATATCTACAACTCTTCTACATTCAGTCTACACATATTTAGTACAACGTGTTTCCGATCACCTTAAATCCTTAATAGATCCTTAAATCCGAATTACAAGACTGTGAAAAATTATAATTCAGGAAAATAAATTTTGATCCTTAAAACCCCAAGCACAAAAATCTGGTGACCGTTTGCTTCATAATTGAATTTTGATCCTTAAAACCCCAAGCACAAAAATCTGGTGACCATTTGCTTCATAATTGACAAATTGGTTTCAGATTATTCTCTGTTCAATCAATATCTACATTCTAAAGACCTTTTTTTTCTGACAAAAACAGCACAAAATTTTAGTTCAACAATTGTATGTTCAACAATTGATGAAATACCATTATTCAGACTGTCTAATCAATTAAAATTTATTGGACCGATTCTGCCTCATAAAAAACCAATGTTATAGAAAGACTATGTTATAAAGAACTTGTTCAAAATATTCACGAAGGCCATGCGGTGTTGCTGTGCAATCAAGCGTTTTTCTCAGGTTGCCAGATAGAAAAACTAACCTAGAAACCGCACAAATGTCAAAAAAAAAACGATCTTAGCAGGTTCTTTCTGACCCAGCTTCATAACATACGAGTGACGGTGCAGTTTATGTGTAAAACGTATAGTACGATTCAGTAGCATAATGTATAGAAGATGGAGCGAGCCTTGCCATAACATTGATCTGCTGTGCGGCAGAATCGCTCCATATATTTAGGAGACGAATTGTTGATGCTTGAGACATCAAGCACAAATATCTAATGATCCAAAATTCATAAACTATTATTTACATTCGGGTTTCAATGAGTAGCATTCCAATAATCCAGATACTACACTTTGAACTTTGAACCTTCTGTTCAATTAATTTTACATGCATGAGATCAAATTTTGATCTTTAAGATACCAAAGATAAATAAATAAAAGCATCCAAAATTTTTTCATTCAATTCAGTTTTCCCATTCACAAGACAAATTTTGGTGCAAACTTTAAAATCAGGTGGATATTAATTTTAATAAAATAATTTCTTCCAAAATCGGCCAACCATAATTTAGCAACTAATAATTCTGTTACTCACCAGGACATTGTGCGCAGTCCGATGTCCTCTGGACATTTTTTCCAGGACATTTTCTGCCATCGTTCACAGGAGTTGGATTGTTGCAATATCTGATCCTTTTGCGACCTTGTTGAGAAGAACTTCTTGCTGTTGGTACAGAAAAGAAGGAAAAATTATAACATTTAAGAAATTCATGAAGGGGTTTGGAGAAGATAGGTGGATGTAGAAGACTTGGGAAAGAGGTAGATGAAGTTCCAAGAAAACTGGAAAAAATTCAAGAAATGTGAAAAGAGCATAAAGGGAGTTACTAGATATAGACGTAAATTGCCTGTTTTATAAAATGTTGGCAGGAGTTGCATAGTATCGGTTAAAGAAGTTAGATAAACAATTGAAAATTATAAAAAGTATCGATTTTAAGTAGAACAGAGGTATTCGATTACATGCATTTCTAAACTACATCATTTTATTGCCTTAATTGAAGAGTTGAATATTACCAAATTATAATAGTTTACCTGATGATGTTATCCGGTCGTGTCCTTGCTGAGATGAGTTTATCCTTTGGCTCCTGGAATTACCTTGGGATGACCTCTGAGACAAAGGGCAATCGCAAGGTGTCCATGCAGACCAGGCGGACCAGCCACCATCAACTGTTGAAGAAGAAAAGAAAGAAAATTAATTATTGACGACATTAGACTACAATATCAATGGCATATTGACAACTATTAGACTTTTCACTTCATGACACTTTTCTATATAGTAGATCTAGATTTGTGTATAGTTCTATCTAGATTTGTGAGGCATTTGGGAGATCTGATTAAAAAAACGTGAAATATTATAAATAAGAGATTTCAACAATACCTGTGGACAATGTAGTATGTAAAATATATGAAAGAATTAAAACTTAATAACAACGTAGATTTAAACAAATGTAGAATTTAAAATCCACATTATACAAATTATCCATTCTTAAATATCTACATTTTGATTTAGATCCATATTTCTTAAATTTCTTATTAAATATGTAGAATTTTAAAAAAATGATTAAATAAATTAAAAATCAAGAAGTGTTTTACTAATTAGATAGAATTTAATGAAAAACAAGTAGAACGTCATTTTTAAATCTTCCAGTTTAAAATTCGGTATTTTTGAATTCTGCAATTTAGAAACGTACATTTTTGATTCAGGTAATTAAGAAATTGGAATTATTTTCAAGTTCTGCATTTATAAACTCTGCATTTTTATATTCTGCATCATAAGTTATAATGTGTATTATTGTGGGCACATTAAAAGATTAGAATTTTTAAATTCATTTTCCCAGGATGTCCATTTTCTTATTATTAATTTTATTTGAAAAATTACATAAAATATCAGGTGTAAGTGGCATTTTAACATAAGAAAAGTGTTGCATCAACACTCCGACATGTGTGAATAATCTCCTTATTCAATAGAAATCAAAAACATCAGTAATTTATAGGTAAAAACCAAATTGTTGTAGGTAATTATAATGCTAGGAACTATTGCAGATTATTCAAGTTTGTTTCACAATTTTTGAAGTAAAACTTCTTTAGGCGCGACTGGGTTGTAAATCCGTACAAATGCAACGGAAGTGCGTTACGGCGGATAAGATAAGATAAGAGTGGAATACCAATAATTCGTCATTCTCGATGATATCATTTCTATACGGGTCGATTGTGATCAGTCGTCGTGTATGTGAATAGAGATCTGTCGTTGTATGCGTATCGGCATCAACGATGTATGCGTAACTATATCAATAAGCAAATCGGCATAGATAAATAAACATTTTAAAGTTACATCATAGTACAAATCTTGATTTAATAAAAAATGCCTGAATCAGAATATTTCACCTGTTCCTTGAAAATAATTAAACAAATTAAACATTTGTGCCGTGTACTAAACGTAATTTTATTGATTAGAAATTATTTCTATATTATTCGTAGTTTCTATAATTCTTTGAAGTTATTAAAATGGAAAATATTTTTTGGGCAAGACAGTTATTACAGCTGTTCAAAGAATGAGATTATATCTCCAGAGAAAAAGTAAAAAAAAAACAAGCAGTCAATGAATGTATGTTAATTTTAAAACATGAAGTTCTTCAAACACAATTATTACATAATGAGTGAAGTTGCAAAGTTGTCTAGGCGTTGTTTAACATAATTCACTGTGTGAACAAATATTATAGAATTTATCAATCAGCAATTACTTCATTTCTCTAATTGTAAATGCTAATTACAATGACAAACCGATCATGTTATATTTGAAGTATAATTTTAATTACATTATTGTTTTTAAATATTATAAATATTTTTAATGCTATTATAAATATATAATTTATAATTTATCATTATATAAATGTGTATAATGGTTGACACTAATAAATGTGTGCATCACCAGTGTTACCATATTACTAATAAACATTATTTAAAATTGTTATATGATGTATTTATTTTTACTTAAATGCCATATTGTACAGTAGTAAATAAGTTTTACTTCAATCGCGTGTGAACCTTACGCGCACTTCCTATTTTTCACTTCACATTCATCCACTTTTCTAAGAATCTAATATTTTAGAATGTTCGTTAAAACTATGGCATAACAACATGAAAATTAAAATGTTAATTAAAATTAAATATATGATTGGCAGATGCAATTATGTAATTAAATTTGACGGATTTGACGTGTCAAAAATTCATTTGTTTGGCATTGGATATAGAATATTAGTTGATTGTAGATTGAATAGTGCACATATGAAGAGGATTTGACAAATTAGCTCACTTAAAATGTGAACTTAAGTAATAATGTACAATAAATTGTTAGCAAGAAAAATGTATTAAAATATTATAATTACTAAAAACCAATTGAAATATGGTACGAGATTGTAAAAATTATAGGTAATTGTAAAAATTATAATAATAATGTACAATAAATCGTTAGCAAGAAAAATGTATTAAAATATTATAATTACTAAAAACCAATTGAAATATGGTACGAGATTGTAAAAATTATAGGCAACATTATTGAAAAAAATATTTTGGGCGAAAAAATCCAATATGATACGGGATTTTGACCGCATATACTAAAATAATACACTTCTTTCTGAATTTGTTATACTGTTTGTTATGTCTTTATCTATGTATGTATGTATCTATGTATCTATGTATGTATGTATGTATGTATGTATCTATCTATGTATGTATCTATCTATGTATGTATATCTGTTCTTCGCAAGCAAAAGGGTTGGGTGTTACCGGTTCTTAATTCGTCCCTTCACCTCTCCCCTCCCCTCCGTGGCGGTTGAATAAACGTCCCAGCCCTAAACGTCTCGAATTTAATACTTAAGAAAAGCTGTTACCTTTATTATTAACTTAACCGAATTTACATGAGAATGGTTTTAATATTAGACCGACACCGCCAACGGAAGAACGAACCTCCACCATAACCGCCACCGAATGTGCGCAACCGACATTTGATGATATTCGAGATATGAATTTATATATATATATATATATATATATATATATATATATATATGGTAGAGCGGGGCTTAAAGGTCCGCGGGTAAGAAGCTCTGCCACCGATATTTCAAAACTAAATAACGTTAAGAATTTTTTAACAACAATATTTCAAAGTATAAGGCAAAAGATGTTTAATCAACCATTACCTTGATTATTGCGACAAAGTATTTAATTTCAATATTTAGGAAACCAATTTTTTTAAATATAAAATTTGAGATATAAAGTTAAAATATAATAAAATAGGCATTATTTTAAAATTCTCAAGTTAAGACGCATCATTTAAAATTCAATAATCAAGACTGCAATATTTATAAATAAAAAATTAGAATATGAAATTCACTATAGAAGACCGCAGTAATTAAAAATACAACATTAGAATATAAAAATTAATATTCAAAACAGCATATATAAAAATGCAATATTAAAATATAAAATTCAATATTCAAGACTACAGTATTTAAAAATACAAAATTAAAACATAAAATGTATATTTTTTATAAAACACAGAAATTAAATTAATTATACAGATAAAACAAAGTAATTGAAAACCAAGTATTTGAAACTCAGCATCTAATAATTCAAAATTTAAAAATGAGCATTAAAAAATTCAAAATTTAAAAATGAGCATTAAAAAATACAAAATTTGACAGCACAATATGTAACTAGTAGTGCATGGCATCGTCACATTGAGGCAAATTATTGAAACTTCCCGTACCGTAATATAAAATTTTTAAAAGCTCAGAAATGAAAAATTAGATTTTTTGAAAATCTTAATTTTTTTGAAACGAAACGTCTGGACCTGCCTTTGTAAATCTCTCTATAAATAGGAATCGAATGTTTTTTGAATCATTCAAATCGGTTGAACCGTGTTCCCGAAATCGTCGACATGAATTTAAACAAACGTTCAAAAATCAATTTTTTCTAAGGTATCACAAAATGTTCAGAAACCTCTGAAACGTAAATTTATGCAAAAAATTTCATATACGATTTTTTTGCGATTACAATAACTTACCCTATGGGAAGTTAATAAGAAAGAATTAAAAAGTGAAGAATTTAAACAGACAGTATTTTGTAAATTAGCATTTTGAACACCAGTTCTTAAAGAACGCTACATTTTAAATTGTTTAACTCAAAAACGCAGTATTTAAAGTTCAATATTCAGAAATGCAGTATTTAAAAACAAAAAATTAAGATATAATTATACAACAATAATTACAAAGATATAATTATAAACAAAATAGTTACAAAATAAGAGTGTATATTTAGTGAAATTTAAACAGACAAAACTTTAAAATGCCGTATCAAAAATTGTGGAATTGGAAAATTCCACATGCAATATTTAATAATATAAAATTAATAGTATAAACAATTTAAAAATCTAGAATTTAAAACTACAGTATATTAATTAATTAATATTCACCAAACTATTATTAATTATTAATTAATTTTCACCAAACTATAAACTATAAACTAAACTATAAACTATAAACTATAAACTATAATATTCATCACTTTTGAGTAGCAGTTTAAAAATACAGTACAAATTTGGAAAAATAATTAATTTAAATATTGAAAAAAACACATTTATAACTTTTTCCCCAAGGTAAGTTATAGTAATCGCAAAAAAATCTAAAATGAAAATTTCACAATCTTGACATTTCAAAGGTTTCTGAACATTTTGGCATTCCTTACAAAAAAAAAATGTGTGTGTGTGGATACAATTTTTCGTCGACAACACGAATCAACCGATTTGAATGATTTAAAATAAATCGATTTCTGTTGATAAGGAGACGTGCTGATTAGTTTTTGGCAAAGGCAGGACTGTCCGTTTAGACGATACGGCGCAAAAAGTGTCAAAAATGGTATTTCACTTTTTGAGAGAACGGAGCGTCCGATTCAAATGATTCACTTGATTTATTTGATGAACTGAACAACTGGTGAAATTTTTGGGAAGGCAGGTCCAGCGTTTTCAAAAATTCAATAAAAAAATAAAAAAATAATGCCATTTGGCGGTTTAAAATGATCATTAGATATATGCACATTGAATTATCAGATATTTTATTGAGATTTTATTAATAAGTATAAATGTTATTTATATTTCTATGGGTTCCGTA